CGCCTGCGAGTTGACATGGAGGACTTCGAGGGAAACACGCGATATGCTGATTATGGATTGTTTAAGGTGGCTGATGAGAGTGTTAATTACCGTCTAACTGTGGGACAGTACACAGGTAAGCATCTTGTTTTATCTGTTTATTTAATCTTCCTTTTTTTTTTTTCTTTTTTTTTTCTTTTGTCTGTTTGTAATACTGCCTTCTTGTTAACTTAGTGAGTTGAGCATCGGACTTTTGTGCGGTTAGTTGGAGTCCCGGCCAGACCAAAGCTCAGGGTCTTTAAATAACTGTGGAGACGGTACTGCCTTTATAGTTACATTTGAAACTGGATAGAGCTTCACTTGGCTCTGATGATGACATAAAATGGCGGTCCCTTCCACACTACCTCACCCTTCAATGGAAGGACGTAAAAGTACCACTGAGGATGTAAAGAAACCCTGTCAGTGACCACCCACATTGTCGCGCCTTTTCTTATGATTTCTTAATGAGTTGATTGTGAGATAGATATGGGGATCATAAAGGGGTTGAAAAGTGTGAAAGGGGGCACTGTGCCCTATTGTGCAGCACCAGCTTGCGGACAAAATTTCAAAAAGATAAAGATAATAAATAATGATAAAAGCTTATCATAGCGCCGGATTCTGTTTGCCATTATCTAATTCTTATTGTAAAATTCAGGGAATGCTGGTGATAGCATGGCAGTTCACAACGGAATGGAGTTTTCAACCAGGGATGCTGATCATGACCGTGACAACGCTAAATCATGTGCCGTGGCGTACACAAGTGCTTGGTGGTATAACAGCTGTCTTTTCACTAACCCTAACGGCCAATACTACTACACTAACCCTAGTCCTTTTTTGAAGGGTATTATATGGTATTATTGGCGTAATGATGACTATTCCATGAAGAGAATGGAAATCAAAATAAGACCCGTAGCCTGATTTGAATAATGTCAAAGACAGTTGCGTATAAATGTTATATTGTAGGTTCAAGACCACGGTTATGCCTAGCTTGCAAATTTTGTCATGGCAATTAGTTGTATGTAAAAAAAAGGAATGATTTTACAATAACTTACAAATTTCTCGCGCGCTGATTGGTTATTTTTTATCATCAATAAGAGGACAGACTGATAAAGCTGACGTGAACGAGCGCGTGCTCTTTCCGTTGGTTGTTTTGATTGCTAAAAATGAGTTTTTATCGTTTTTGTTATTATAAGAAACAAATAGACATCAGTTTTTTATGTGTCTGTCCTCTTATTGACGATAAATTTCGTCACATTGTCAAAGTAGTATGCGGATGCACACGGTTACGCCTCGTGGATCCACACTACTTTGACAGTGTAATGACGCAATTTATCGTCAATAAGAGGACAGACACATAAAAAACTGATGTCTATTTGCTACTCTGATCATACTGAACTTATAACTTGGTGCCTTCTGGGCCACCAAACTAAATTTGGAAAAGTAA